GGTAGCGGTAAAGTAAAAAGAAGAAGCATGTGATTTGGACGTTTGCGGCGCTGACGTGTGGATTTTGGTTTGCGACTACTAGAAAGTCTTGAATTGTGATTTTAGTGACCGACGCTCTGACGTGATTTGCTCTCATCGTGTAACAGATGAATAGAACGGTTCTGGTTTGATGATTGCGACGTTTTAAGTCGCGATTTCAGCTTAAAATTCACTAACTGCTCATCCGTAGTCTGCACACCTTTTTAGGAAGTGGTAAAAAAATCTACAGACACCACACGGTCGGTGCTGAGTCGACGAGTAAGTCGATGAACACCATAAATACGGTATAATTTGCTGGCATAATCGGTGATTAATAACACAATAAACCCTGATTGCTCTGCTTTGTTTGAGGGGACGCCTCTTCCTTCCTCCCCGCTCAGTGATTTCTCGTTAGTTTGCGCCCCAGATGTAGGAGAAGTCAGCAATGTGTGATGTTGTTTCCTTTTGTTTACATGAAGGGATCTCGTGCTGACAGGTCTTTTTTTTTTTTTTTTTTTTTAGATAGACACATTAATTATATTATATTAACTATCAGTTGTGATTCCTCCTTCCTCAGTATACCTGCTTGTGTCTTTGTTGGCTTCTCGTGGAGAATGTGGAGATTTTGTTGCTTTAACAACACAGCTACACGTGTGGGTCGAGCCTTGAGGCCGACAGTAGCTGTTGTTTTCATTCTTGATTAATTGGCTGGCAATTTTATTTCTCAATTATCATTTTGTCCATCAATAAAGAGATGGTCTTAATGACTTGGAGGAGCTGAAACTTCAGAAAATCGTTGTCATTTTGCAGTTTTTGTGACGATTAATTGGTCAGGACGGTTGATTTATCGATCGACCATTGGTTCCTGCTCTGGTGTGCGTGCTTCACTTCACTCCCGGTACAAAGAGCCGCTGGTTTTAATCACATTTGGGAGTCTAACTTTGTCCAAACAGTGGCAGGATTGTGTTTGTAGTTTACAGCTGTGTGTTTGCAGTCGGCGGCGGCAGATTGCAGCTGCAGTGCTGTGGTCAGTAGGTGGGAGGAGGGATGCTGGAGTCGGAGGCTGGGCGTGGAGAGGATGACGGCTCTCGGTGACTGATGAAGGCCTCGTCCGGGCCTGGGTGCGCCTGGAGCTGGCTGCTGTGTCGGGGCTCTCCGTCCGCCTCGCTGCTGCTCTGTATCACGTTGCTGGGAGAAGCACGAGTAGAAAATGTGCTGCAGTGTGTGAAGTGAACAATCACAGGCCCTCTTCTGTTATTTTGCTCCCGGGTGGGAAATTAGATCCACGTAAATCTTGGTTTGAGGCCGTTTATCAGGCAAAGCAATCGAGTTAAACAGGTCAACTCGGACTCCGGGAAGTTGCAGCGGTCATTTGTCACAGTTTTCTGGCATCTTATGGACTGAAAAATGACCTTAAAGAGGATTTTCATGTCAGTGTTTGAGTGGAGTGTTTTATATCATGTATATCAGGGGGTTTTGCTAAATCGGTGATGAGACTTTCGTTCTTTTTTGTTGTCATGCAGTATTTTCACAGCCGTTTTAAGTGGAAAAACATAGAATTTATTGTGGACTAGAAGGCAAAATGAGAGAATAATTTTTAATTGACTTTGTGTGTTTTGTACGTCGGGGTTTTTCCTCACTGACGACGGGGCTTTGGCTGATCTGTGTGAGTCTCTTGCTATATGTCACAGCAATCTGCAGTTTTCTGACCAAATTATCAACAAAAATATCTCTTGCACTTGACAAAACTGATCAAGTACTACTTACTTATGCTCGTGGTGCTGGCTAACACCTCGTAGTGGGAAGCTAACGTTCCTCATGCAGGACAAAACCTGGATGTGAGAGCTGTTTAAACATTTAAACCATAAAACACAACCTGCTGGTGGAAGCGTGATCTACAGCAAGTCGGTTTGCTGAAACGTTCATTAATTGACAGATCGTTTGAAACGGAGCCACGACTGTTGACTTGTTCGCCAGCTGTTTTGCGAACAGATTCATTCATTGCATTATTTTCTATCTAAACTCAGTGATTGCAGCGTCTCAGATGTGAACATTTCCTGGTTTCTTTGCTCCTCCGTGGCAGTAAACTGAATGTCTTCGGCTTGTGGACAAAACAAGACGTTTGAGGACGTCGTCTTGGACTTCTTGCCAGTTTTATACCAAACAACTGATTGTTGAGGAAATATGTGACAGGTTGACGGTACTTCATGTACGAGTTAACTGGTGACCCTGACAGAAATTATTCAGTCAAAATATATTGTTTAAACTAAATATGAGAAGGTTAAGTCAACTCTAAAGTGTCCTACTTTAACGGGAGGGTTTTCTGTTTTTATTTTATATTTATATAATGTTCTTTTGACTGATAAAAAAAAAAAAACTACGTGTAATGATGAGAAATGAGGGACTTGATAGTGAATTTCAGGGTTATTGTTGTTGTTTTTTTAATGAATAGATCATTTCTGATTTCATTTTCTTGTTTTTTGGGACTCTGGAGTAAATTTAGTGAAACCAAACGTCCGTTGCTTTTGTGAGTTGGTGTGAATATATTGCCTTATATCTGCAACAGGCTCCGGAAGTGAATTAAAATCGTTTTGCGATATCGGCAGGCGTTGTACCGTCATCCAAAGAATCAATATAAACATCATATTGTGATTGAAAGCTTGTTATTTGCAGCCCTGGTTTGAAAGTTTCACGCTCAAGAGCAGGATGATTTCCATTCATGTGCTTTCTTTGTCCTACGTGGCGGAAAAAATAATGTGTTTAGAATGTAAACAGTTTATTGTATTGACAGTTTTTCTCAGTTTTCTGATGTTTTCCTAATTTTTGGAATAACAGTCGCTGCCTCAGTCAACAAAACATCCAGCAGTAAAAATAAGCGTCTTTGTTTTCCCCCCTGAACGTGTCATATGAATATCTGAATATAATCAGACGCTGATTGTGTTAAATCGGGTCATGAGCAGCTCCAACAAACACATTTTGTCGTCCTGTGTCTTCATAAGCAGCACCGGATCCGTAGCTGCCACATCCCCGACTCGACTCGGACGTCAGGCGGTCGTTTCTCGGACAGGATGTAAACAGAGCGGGTTACTCAGCTTCCTCTGGCTCTAACAGCGACCACTGCGCTGGTGTCACGTCCCGGTCCGTGGCCCTAATAGCAGCGAATGTCCAGAGATCGCTGCACGCCTGCTCCGGCTAAATATAGCAGCGCTGCCTACATGCACCGTCCAGCCCTCCTCCTCCTCCTCCTCCTCGTCCTCGTCCTCCTCTCGCTGCGTTCACACAACAGTTTTCTGCTTCGTCCTTCTTCGTTCGGCTGTCCTCAGTCGTTCCGGGGCGTTGATGTGAACCTGCAGTGACGCTGAACGCTGCGTGATCGTAAACGCTGTCTCGTTATCAGCAGCTTTGATTTCATGCAGCAGCCTCAAGCGGAACAAAAAACCTGATTTATTGTCAACTTAAAGGCACAACGAGAGTTTTTATTTATGCATTCATATAAATTATATCCATCAGGCAAAACAATCATGTTAAAGAGGCCACCTTTGACTCTGAGAAGCCATTTTCTGACATCTTATGGACCGCAAAATGAGTTTTAAGAGGATTTTCTTGTGTGCTTTTTTCTTCTTTCACGTAGTAATGTCATGGATGTCAGGTTTATTTTCCTAAGATAAGATTGGACTTCCTTTCTTCTTTGTTTTTGTGAAAAAATTGATTTGGTTGCCGACTTGAGGCGTCTTCCATTCTCATACTTGCGGACAAAAAAGACATTGAGTCTGTTGCTATATTTCACAGAAGTCTGTGCAGTTTTCTGTTATTTATCAGCAAAATTGTGTCCTACGCTCGAGTAACTTAAACCCCAATTAATAAAACCAATCAAAACATGCCCTTAATTCGTGCTTAACGTTTCAGTAATGGGGATTTTTATTCCTCAGTGACGGAAAAGACTCTGAATATCAGAGCCGTCTTCACATTCAGACCTGAATACGAGGCCTGCTGGTTTTCCTTAAATCTTATTTAAGGAACGTGCTCAGCTGTGAACGACTTTTTATTTAGGAAAGAGCACGTTCGTGGTGGAAACTTGATCTGCAGCAAGAAACTTTAATTGGCAGATTGTTGTCGACTTGAAGGCTTGCAGTTCAGAATTGTCTTTCACATTTTATTTATATATATATTTAGAAAACCTGTTACACAAAAGTACCAAAAATACCTGTTAATGTAGCTGGGGTTGGTGACAGTCACTCTAAATTATAATTAAGTTGTTTTTTTATTGCTCATCAGTAAAATACAATAAAGCTTGAAAGTCCAGCGTGCAACATGATGCGTGCTTCTCATCGGCACGGCGTGTTTATCTGTGCATCATCTGGATCGAGCTGAATTTCTGCGGCTTCTTGCTGTGGATGCTGCCGTTCATTTACCTTCTCCTCGTGTCCCGTCAGCAGGGCTGAAATTACAGCTTCAGGTCTCTCAATTATCCTCCATGATCTGGCCTCCTTGGTCTGTCGTCGCTGTCGAAGCAGCTGTTTTTAGCCTCGTGAGGTCACAACCTGGCCTCGTGTTCAACACTTTGATTCGGGACGAGCGTTTTTGCAGACTCGCTCTCCAGAGTGAGCATGAAGCCGGCTTATTGCGAGTGGATGTCTTTGCACTGTTTGCTCAAAAGTGAAAAATGTCTGGTGTTGGTCCAGATGAAGCTTTGTAGACGAGGAAGGCTGGTGTGGTGAAGGAAGTCAGGGAGACGTGGAAGTGGACTAATCTGTCATTAGCTGGTGACGTCAGGGTCAGGTCAGCATTGTGTCTCCGTGGCTCAGAGCCAGGTGTCTGCACATAAGCCATCCATATAACCCACCTGGTTAACTACCAACACACTTCTGATTGATTTTTGATTCCGGGAGTTGAAATAAATCCCGACAAACGCAAGTTTTTGAAGCTAAATCAAAGGCCATTAATCAAAATGTATTTTTGTCTTTGCTTCGTCTCCTTCGCAGGTCATCTGGTGAAGAGTGCCGGAGCTTTTAGGTGGCAGACAGCGCCACCCAGGCGTGCAGAGTGGGACTGCATCCCGCCTCACAACCGAACAACCAGCTTCCCGACGCGCTGCTGCCGTTGCCAGATGGACTGCAAACTCTGAGAGCAGAGCGAGTCGAGACCGAAAACCAAGCGAGGAGAGGAGCCGGGGGGAGCACGCTCACCGGAGCAGGAAAGGGAGGGCATTGGTCGGGAGCAGAGAGGACAAGGGGCTCTACGATGTCGTCAAACAGGACCCAGAACCCCCACGGACTGAAACAGATAGGCCTGGACCAGATATGGGACGACCTGCGGGCTGGAATCCAGCAGGTGTACACAAGGCAAAGCATGGCCAAGTCACGCTACATGGAACTCTACACGTATCCTGTGAGATCGGGGAGGGTTGGTGCTGGGATGTTAGCGATCACTGATAATGTAACCGAGTACAAATACAACGACCAGTAAGGCAGGAAATGTACTGCAGATCAGCTGTAGTGCCTGATTGTCCCACTAGGGGGAGCCTCTTAACACTGACAAGCAGAGGAGGGGCTCACTCGGACTTCTGTTAGGTCGGCAAACAGAGAGCATTGTGGGAGTTTAGCTGGTAAAGTGCAACCATGAGGAAGTGTCCTGCGTTGCTTGATGGGTTCCAGCCAGAGTTCTCGTGGTATTAGTGACGGCAGAGATCCGTTAATGCGACGTCGCAGCGTGTCAGACAAGAGCCGCACGTCACGTGATTGGAATGAGGTTGTATATTGGCTACGAAGTTTGTATCGTGTCAATGATTAGACAGTTATTGATTGACACGGCTGTAATTAATAAATAGAGAAGATGTTATTAACTGTTAATAAATCATTTACCAGATTTAAAAATATATTGATCGACGTTGCAGAAGATGAAATGTCACAAATTTTATTGCGCGTTAGTTGTAGTAGGTAGTTGTTCCACCAGATGGCGCCTCTTACTGTTAGACACTGTATGACCAGAGGGGGCGGTCAGTCGGACTACTGTCGGTTCATTTTTGGCAAGCAGAGAGCATTGTGGGAGTTTAGCTGGTAAAGGGCACCATGAGAAGGTCTCCTGTGATGTGTAGTGATTATCAGTAGATGAGACGACGTCCACTGCACTCAAACAGGAAGTGAGACCCACGCTGGCATCCATGCACACCCCTGATGTCCAGTCCGAGTCCTGTGTCGCTGAGCTGGAGGTTGGGGGGACGCAAGGGTGTGGATGTTGTCAGGCTGCAGAGGTTCACCAGGTTAAAGGGCGACGGAGGTGAGAGGAAGACCAGGAACGGCGAGTCTTTGTTGGAAAGGTTGCAGGAACGAGGGCGAAGGAGCTCCGTGATATCGAAGGATATGATTGGCTGTTTATGAGACAACTGAAGTCTGTTCGTGCAGCCAAATTTTGTGTTTTCATTGTGGGCCTTCTTGGCGATTCGCACCCGATGCATTTAAGTGGAGCTGCTGGCCAGTTTTCCTCATTGCTGTTGGTGAAGTGTGCATCACTGGTGCATGTCGGTCCAGGTGTAGTTCTAGCCATGCATATGTCTTTATAACGGCTCAGGCCACACAAAACAGTCAATCCAGATTTGACAACTTAAGCTCGGACCAGGCTTTACAAACATAGCATTTGTATTCTTTGACGTGCTTCGTGTCTGATTTCTTGCCCTAATAGCAGATTTATCCCCGAGTTAAACCTTAAAACGATTTCCACTCTAAAGCCAAGCGGCTACCCAACGGTGGCAAATGTTTACCCGTAACCAACGTCTACGTGTTGCATCAGGGTGTTGCGGTGAACTCGGTGGCGCTGGCTTGTTACTTCCTTTCCTTTAAAACCCAAACCTGTTTTATAGCTGTTTGCCGAGGCCAATGGTCAAGCTTAAAACCGGTAAACAAACGCCAGAATGTGCTTCATATGTCAGCTGATCTACTGAGGAAGGTTGTTTTATGTTCCCAGAAACACGTTTCAGGTGTTTGAATGGTTACGGCTACAAACTATAGAATACACAGTGTGCATGACGTGAGAGACGATTTTCCCCTGAGGACACATTTTGTTGTCAACCTCGTTTTCTCTTGTGCACCTCTGCAGCGCCAAACGTTGTCATTTCCCCGAAGCTGTAATTCTGTCCACACAGACACAAGACAACGACACTAATTTACGCGACATGCAAGCTGGAATCTGTGAATGACATGTTTGCCTTTCAGAGCTTCGTCCACATCGCTGCTCATTGATCACACCAGTAGCTGTGCACTAATGTGGCGCATAAAGGGGAGAATCATCTTTAGTCGGTGGAGAACATTCCTCAAATACTTGCTCATGACATTACAAGTTGTGAGGAATACGGTGATCAGCGCCACCGAGAGGCCGTGTTTGTCTGTCAGTGTCTGTGGTGTTGATTCCTTAACGCTCCCTGCGTTAGACATGTATATAACTATTGCACCAGCGTCCACCAGTCCAGCCAGGGCAGGGGCTCTGCGCCTCCAGCGAAGCCCTCCAAAAAGTCCACCACTCCGGGAGGCGCTCAGTTTGTAGGCCTGGAGCTCTACAAGCGACTCAAGGAGTTCCTGAAGAACTATCTGACCAGCCTGCTGAAGGTGAACACACGTCCGGTTTGCAGCATTTTGATCACGCTCTGAATTCTGCCGGGTCCTCATTTGCTTCCTCCCTGTTTGTCCCGCTACAGGATGGCGAAGATCTAATGGACGAGTGTGTGCTGAAGTTTTACACGCAGCAGTGGGAGGACTATCGTTTCTCTAGTAAGGTCCTCAACGGGATCTGCGCCTACCTCAACCGCCACTGGGTCAGACGAGAGTGCGATGAGGGACGCAAGGGCATCTACGAGATTTACTCGGTAACTCCACTTTCTGCACAGACCTCTGTCCTGTTCTTCTAGGCTAGTTACAGATTTTAGCGACAACTTTCTCTTTGGAAACGACCACAGCTGTGTGTTTTGACCAAGCGAACCAAAAAAGATCAGAAATTAAACCTACTCTCAAACTAATCAGTTGATGTTTAGAGAAGACGTCCTCATGTTGTTTCTACCTTTAGAGAGCCTCGCTAGCCTCGTTAGCCTGAAGCCAGCGTTGGTAGCATGACAACACCGATCGCATTATTCCCGTTAATCGAGAAAATATCTGACAGATTATTCGTCTCAACTGGCGACCCTGTTAGATGGTATTTAGTTGTTTCTAATTGGCAGAACAAATAAAACTAAATACGAGTGAAAATCTAACTTAGCGTTTTAAGAAGCTCCTTAATTGATAAAAACCGGCACTTACACATGAGAAATCTGGCACTTTATAGTAAAAATTAAATCAAATATGTTCAACAAGACATTGGAGGACCTCGTTTTGGACACTGATGGTGTTTTTTTGACCCAAACAACTAATGGAGAAGGTATTTGACTGATTGATTGACGGCGTCCGTATGATTCTAACAGACTCTACTGCATTTGCTCTTGACCTTGTTAGACGTCAGTAAGCTTTAAGGACGTCTGTTATTACTTAAACGCTAATCGTGAGCGAAAGTTTACTCAGAACTACGACGTATCGGCCTTTAATGTGAAAGTCTGTAGTTTTGTTTTATGTTTTGCAATGAAAGGTCCTCAAAGAGAGTTTTTAACTGATAAGAAAAAACACGGCTGAACACTAGAAATCTGGCATTTCATAGTGCAAATCAGATTTCTTTCCTCCTCTAGAACAAGAAACAGATTTTTTGGGGGGGTTGCTAACAAAACAAGACATTTGAGGACTTCATCTTGGGAACATTTTCAGTCATACAGACCAAACAAATAATCGATCGATTGATTGATGGCGTTGCGACGCATCCGTCTCTGTGATTCTAGCAGATTGACCTGCATTCACATTAACAAGCTAACTGGTGACCTTGTTAGATGTTAGCATGTTTTGTTTTCTTTTTGTTAAAATATGTTGTTTGGACACTTTCATTGGAAAACGTTTCAGTTACTTCATGATGAAAAGTCCCATTTAAAGAGAGGCTTTTTAACTGGTTAATAAAACTGAACTTGAACGTGAGAAATCTGGTGAAATGTGAACGTTTTCTGGTTTCTTTCGTCCTCTGTGTCCGTCAGCTGAACGTATTTAGGTCGAGGACAAAACAAGACATTTTATCCACCAAGCAGCTGATCAATTACCGGAGAAAATAGTCGTTAATAGATGTTAGTTAGTTGCAGCCTGAGAGCGATTGATTGATTTTAGATTAGCATGAACTCGCGCTGACCTTTTGCTAACCTTCTGTTTCTTCTTCCTTCCTTCCGCCCTCTCCCTCGCTGCCGCTTCCTCCCAGCTGGCACTTGTGACCTGGAGGGAGTGTTTATTCCGACCCCTCAACAAACAGGTGTGTTTGCTTTTGTTTTCCTAGAAGCCCAGCGTGAACCAACACGGCGGTACTAAACGCACACATTCTGGGTTTCATTGTCACCTCCACGAGCGCGTCTCTTCTTCTGTTTGGTGTGTTGACCGAAGTGTTTTTGTGTCTCCGTCAGGTAACAAACGCCGTTCTGAAGCTGATAGAGCGAGAGAGGAATGGTGAGACCATTAACACCAGGCTGATCAGTGGTGTCGTCCAGTCGTATGGTAGGTGCTCACCAAGCAGACCAACCACCAACTGTTGTAGGCAGACTTCAGTGAGCACACACAGATGTCGAGCTCAGAGTGGTGTCTTTGTGTGTTTTCGATGCACGGCCGGGGCTAAGCTCGTCTTTTTGCCGGCGCTACTTGCAGAGTGAGTCACCACACCTGCTCGCTGGAGACAAAAATAGGATTTCTTGTTGGTTTCTCGAAACGATCAAACATCGAGCAGAACTATTTATCTTCCAACCTAATCTGGGCTTTTACTTTTTTTGTACTAATCAGCTCCAGAGTGTTTGCAGCCACCTAAGGCTACATCCACACAACGACGTTTTCATGGGTTGATGCTTTGTTCGTCGTTGTCGTGCTCACACATGCTGCATCGAGGAAAAACAAGAAGGAAACCGTCGTGAAAAACATCTTGCAAGTTGTGCTAAACGAGTGCTTGTGTTGCATTTTAAATCAACGTAACTTCTGCTACGTTTTTGCCCTTTTAGGACCTCTAAAACTTCTGCGGATCCCGTTGTAGCTTCAAACCTCAGAAGTTTAAGCCCGGCCGAGCTGAAACGGACTCTTCGTTGACGCCGACACTCGTGTTTGCTTTCTTATCGGCTCCCTAACTGTCTTTATGTTCCCCAAGTCCTCCACGCTCCTTTCATGTGACCTTTTCCCCCCCAAAAGAAAACAAAGAGTGCCGGCAGTTAATTCCCCGTGAATGGCAGGTGTTGCCGAGCTCGTTGTCTCTGCTAGCAGCTGCTGCACAGTGGAGAAAACGACGTGCTTTTTCTGACCTCGCTGATGCTCCTCTGCAGTGTTTTCTACAGCTCGCATGTCTGGGATCACGGGTGCTAAAACACTCACCTGGGTGAACATTTCTGTCGTTCTAAAATGAAAACATGAGTGTGGATGTAGCCTGCGACGCTGCTGTCTGTGGCTGGGATCAGACATTAAACTCATGTAATATTTGACTTGACTTCGGTGTAATTTCAGCCATTCAGCCCGTCTTCAGATTGATTTATACATCGGGTTCGTTGAGCTCCTTCGCATTCAAACACGAATGAAACGGGACGGATTGTGTTGGAATAAATAAATGTTGCTTTTAGAAGAAAAGACGTTAGAACCTTGAACTTTCATTATGAGCAAAGCAGACACACTTAGAGCCTTTTACACTTGGTTTCCTTTAAGCTTTATGTTTGTACGAATCTGCGAACACGTCACGTTACGACACAAACGGACCAGTCAGTAATCATAAGAAACCTTATTTTTGCTGCATCATTCAACACCTGAGCTACAAGGTGCTTTGCAAAACATTCGAATACACAAAGAGTAAAGTGTGAAAAGTTCAGCGAGTCGAGCCAAACTGTGGTGATTTAAAGAAGCAAATCTCAAACTGCATTTCTTAGAAAATGGTTGTGGTGTTCTGCGTCGTCTGGTTTTATTTGTGGGGAGGTTCGTGTCAGACTACAGCAGAGATTCAGCCCAGAAGTATGAATCAAACTGTCCAGGTTCAAGGACTGTACAGTTTGTTTTCCTTTTATTTCAACCTTAAACAACTGAAAATGATCAGTAGGGCTGAAACTAACCGTTATTTTCACGGCTGATTAATCCGTCAGTGTTTGCTAAAGGTCAAGACGACGTCCTCCAACTCAAACATTTACTGTCATAAAGAAGCCAAACATTTCTGATTCAGTTCGTATTTGACAACTGGTTGTTTAATTGATTGTTTGTTTCAGCCTTAATGATCAGGAATACACAATTAAACAACTGTCCAGCTGTGAATACCTCATAGTATATATTAAATGTGAAAGCAAACAATCATTTAAGTGTCCCAGTGTAGTCATGTCGATACCTTTAGTTAACACTTGTCTTTGTCGTGTCCTGCTCCTCCTCCTGCAGTCGAACTGGGCCTGAATGAGGAGGACGCCTTCGCCAAAGGCCCGACGCTGTCCGTCTACAAAGAGTACTTTGAATGTCAGTTCCTCACTGACACAGAACGTTTCTACACCCGCGAGAGCACAGAGTTCCTGCAGCAGAACCCCGTCACAGAATACATGAAGAAGGTAGACGGCGTTCCCACCACATTCGTAGACGCACAAACGGATTCAGCAGCAGCTTCTGTCCTTGGAGCTGACGTTGAACAGAGAATCAAAGCGATGCTGTGGTCACCTGTGCGTTGGCTCATTCTGTGTTTGCGTTTGGTCAGGCGGAGGCTCGCCTCCTGGAGGAGCAGCGGCGCGTGCAGGTTTACCTCCACGAGTCCACCCAGGACGAGCTGGCCAGGAAGTGCGAGCAGGTCCTCATCGAGAAACACCTGGAGATCTTCCACACCGAGTTCCAGAACCTCTTGGATGCCGACAAGAACGAAGGTAAAGCTGCAGATCATCCACGTGTACGTCGGGGATTAGACTCGCTCATATTTGTTTGGATTTCTTTAAACCTAAAGCAGTCATGGTGGGTTGAGAGAAGCTAGGGAGGCATCTTCTGTGTTGTTTTGGTTCAGAGTTATGTCCAGATATGTTCTTCAGTCCGAACAAGGCCGCATCTAACTCAATATGGGCTCATCTTCAGAACAGAATTCTGGTTTATTTTGTTGACGTTGAAGGTTTGTACAGTGGAAATTTTAGATATCTCTTTTTATCACTCCAAAAATCTGAAAATACGAAGCCACATGAGCTCAAAGATGTTGTGCTGGTTGAGATGAGCGAAGGACGCAGCTTCAGTAGGGACGAGTAGAAAACCAACATGGCTGCCTGACTGCGTGATCCCAATCCTCTGCAAAACTACATTATCAGCGCGGTGGGTTGCAGCGGATAAGATGGCAGACAGATGACTGAAATAGTCGGTGGCTTTTACCCGCAGCTGGTCGCTGGAGTTTTGAACTGATTGGTGTTGGAATAAAGCTGCTTTTTTACCTGTTTTGTTCCGTAGAAATGTGAATGAAGCCACGAGAACAGTCATCAGAGTTTATCGCGGCTTTGTAAAACATTTGTTGGCTGGCCTGAGGTCAGTGAGACTCTGTCACGGTGCTCCTTTAACTCCCACATTGACACCATGGAAGTGGTGCTGCAGCTAATCTACGACACTTCAGACGTGTATTATCCAGGAGAGCTGGTATCTGCTCACCTTAAACCGTAGTTGTCCCGCAACTTAGCTTAGTAGCACATTAACTTTATGGCTCCTTCTTAGGCAAATGACACGTAAACTCTTCCAGCAGCAGCCAACAACCACAAACATACTTTGAAGGTATTTAGTCCTTTTGGATCCACAACCCGATTCACGTTTCAACATTAGCAAGTTCAATAAGCTGTAATCAAGCTGTGAAGCCATGAACGGGTGAAGCCTGATGATCTGCAATCACTGCTGGCGGACTGAGAAACGGCCTCATTAATGCCACCAACCAGAACACGTGACGACGAGAACACCTGATTGAATATGGATCCGACGCGCCGAAGCTGCAGCCTGCTGAGTCTGCGCCTTGTTATTCAGGAGCTGCGTCGCTCGAGCGCCCTGATGTGGAATTATTCATTTTAATCATTTGTAAACGTGGAGATAGTTAAGCAGTTATAGAACGTGGAGAGAAAACGAGCACAAAGAGACGAAAACAGCACAGAAAGCGGCACAAAATTACACAAACAAGACACAAAACGGCTAAGATGAGACAAAATAACGAGCAAGACACAAAACAGAGACGACAAAACAGACTGAGAGGAAAATAAAACTGATTGGATCCATAAATAAACGCAGCACAGCTCAGAACCAGCGAACAGAGGAGCCAGCTGTTGGAGACACATCCAGCTGAACATCTAATGTGAAACGATAAATTGGCTTGTTTTTCAGACCTGGGCCGGATGTACAACCTGGTGTCGCGGATCACGGACGGTCTTGGCGAACTGAAGAAGCTCCTAGAGACTCACATCCACAACCAGGGCCTGGCCGCCATCGAGAAGTGCGGCGAGGCGGCGCTCAACGTACGAACCGCTCCTCCACCTCTGACACCAGCACTCAGTAGTTCACCGTCACCAGAAGCTCTGTTTGGTTAGAAACAAGAAGAGCGGTCATGTGAGGAACACGTGGGGCAGACGTACTGTTGGTTTGTCGTTTATACGCACACACAAGTACAGGAATGTGTTTTGTTTGCAGAAAAGAATCAACAAAGAGCAGGTCTGAGCCCCAAAGAGCTCAATAGCACACACTGTGGGCGGATGATGGATAAAAATGTTATGAACAGATGAGTTAATGAGCTTCAGTTCTACAATACTGCAAACTGATCAGGCATGAAAATGGGCTGCAGGTTGATCAATAGTTAAACAGGTGTTTTTACAGGTGAAATGATGAGGTGAACGTTAGATGGTTTCTTTCCGCACAAAATCCCAAACTTGACACGACAGGTGAGCTCAAAGACGTTGTGTTTTCTCCACCAGGACCCCAAAGTGTACGTCCAGACCACCCTGGACGTCCACAAGAAGTACAACGCCTTGGTCATGTCCGCCTTCAACAACGACGCCGGCTTCGTGGCGGCGCTCGACAAGGTCAGTCGCCCTCAGAGAGCTGCCGTCCGTCCGTCTGTCTGCTGGAGCGCCACACTACTGACGATGTCTCCTTGTTAATGTTGTTGTTGTTGTTGCTGCAGGCGTGCGGTCGGTTCATCAACAACAACGCCGTCACCAGGATGGCTCAGTCGTCCAGCAAGTCCCCCGAGCTGCTGGCCAGATACTGCGACTCTTTACTGAAGAAGAGGTAGGCGACACGCACGAACGCAGAGGGCTGTGCCTCGTTAGTGTAGCGACCAAACTAGAAAAGATGTCCGCCATAAACAGGTGGTTGTCGGCTTTCTGTGGCAACTCAGACCGTCTGCTTCAAACTCTGATCAGCTCCACTTCTTACACGTTTTAATTGAACCACTCGTTTGTTAAGGGACACCTTTTCATGTTCTCCCGACGACGTAAAACACACAAATCAATAAATTCACGCACGTAAATGACAGTAAATCAGGAAATGATTTCACCTCTGCTTTCTACAGCTGATGAGCAGAGCAGAGAGGAAAAGTCTGAGAGGCTGGAAACACGGAGATGCTTCAGTATCTGTAATATGTGGAGAGAAAACGACCACAAGGAGGCAAAAACGAGGCACAAAATTACACAAACGAGACACAGAACGACAAAAACGAGGCACAAAAAGTCAGAAAAGAAACACAAAACGGCCAGAGAGGAACAGAAAAGCAATATACACGTAAAATATGGCAGCTTTTCATCACGTCTGATACGTTTTGGTGTGAAAATATTTAACCGTTTTTGGCCAGAAGCTGTAGAATGAGTAAGAGAGGAGACTCTGATCAGCGCTGTGAGAAGAAACCACCAGTAAGTCTACGTACTGACTCTGTTTGTGCTTCTTTCTCAGCTCCAAAAACCCAGAAGAGGCCGAGCTGGAGGACACGCTCAACCAGGTGGTGAGTACTGTGGTGTACTACGGTACCACCGAGCCCCTTCCTTTACCTCCACCTGCATCAGGATTGGCTTTCATAGATATTTACAGTCATTCCTAACAGGATTTTAGGTGTTTTTTTTTTTTTTTAAATTAGTTTTCATTTTGAAGTGCAGTTAAATTCACCATTGCTTAATAAGACGAGCCTGATTCAACCCACGTGGGAAATATCAGACCTAAAGTCATACATCAGTACTGGTGGATCTCCAGATTGTTCCTCTGCATGTGGAGGTCGTCATACGGCACATATCCGTGGTAGCAGCTTGGTTA